TAATATCACTACCAATATTGTATTGAAATTGATACAATCATGATGAACAATGCTGAACTAGCCCAAGCCATCCTCCATGGGCTCAGCGAGATCGATGTGAGCCTGCTTGGCTGAAAGATTGTCTCATTGAGGAGGCATGGTAGCAGGAAGGAGAATGCAGCTATAAATTAGGTGTGTTTACAGTACAGTACAGATTAGTTGTCTTTCCGAGCTCATTGCGTAATCGAGCCCTAATTCGATCGAATCAATGCTGACTTGTTTACTCGTCGAGTGGCTCAATTAAGCGCGTGCGGACAACGAAAGGCAAACCACGCCCTCGTGCGAACTGACGTACCACGGAAGGTGAAGCACGTGCGAACTAGGGAAGCGCGGAAGGTGAACCGCTCAAGGCAAATTGGTGGAAGGATAACCACATACGACAGTCGACAGGCGGACCGTAGAAGCTCACGTGCTGCTCACAAGCTCGATTTCAGTGGCGCAAACTGTGCTTAAGTTCGACTTTTGAGCTCTAGTACTTGAGTTCAACCTCGGGATTTGACTCACGAGTCGAGCTCAAATTAGACATAACTCGAGCTCGACTTAACTCATTTGTCCCCCTAACTAACACCATAATAAAATAACGATGTAATTCCTTTTATGTTTTCAATATAGTATCATTCTTTTATCATATCCTAAACAAATCATGCTGGCATAAGCTACGTACTCATGTAGTCATGTGAAAGACTCATACTCGGGCATCCAATTATCGTAGTTAGATTCCACAACAAAATCTTGACAATTATTTAAAAATTTGCAGGTGACTCCGCCAATCTATGATCATAACCTTTCAATTTTAAAATATAATCACAATCGTTTATTAGCTTCAACTAATATGAAATTTTTATCTTTAATTTTTTTATTTTTTTTATTTTATCTTTAAATTTAAAATTCCCCAATACATCTTCTAATATTTTAACTTAAATCTAATATTTTGTTCTATAATAACACTAACGACAACAAGCCTTTATTGCACTACGTATACTGTGTGGTTGGCTATATGAATCTTTTTTCTCCATTGTGTTCTATTAAGAGTCAAATTTTCATTTAAATATAATAAAAAGTTATTTGTAATACTTTCTAAACATGTCTTTTTTTTCGGTCTATCTCTGCCTTTCTTAACATGGGATGGTTCTAATATACATACTCTACTAACACGATCAATAAATAATGGACGTTTTATGTGACCAAATCATCTAAGGCGACTCTCTCTAATTTTATCTGCCACTGGAGTCACCCCAACCTTTTCACCTATATACTAGTTTCGCATGTCATCTCTAAGTGTAAAGCCACCCATCCACTTGAGTATAATTATCTCTACAAAACTTTACTTAATTTTATGCTTCTCTTTAAATGGCGAGCCTTTTGTGCCATAAAGCATTGAATGTCACACCACAATCTTATACAAATTTTCCTTAAAATGGAGGAATACTTTTCTATCACACAACAACCTCGATACATTCCTCCGCTTCAACCATTCAAAGTTGAATTCTTTTAATAATATCCATATCTATTTCACCATCGTTTTGAATGATAAAGCTAAGATATCTAAAACATGAACTATTTTGAATGACCGCCTGATCGCCCAACATCTACTCGTTCTATAACTATTTAATTTATACTTGATGTAATGAGTTTTAGATCCACTCAAATGAAAACTATTCGAATTTAAAATTAACCTCACCAACTCCCTCTCCAGTCTTTTCAACAAGAAGAATATCATTCGTAAAAAAAAACATACATCTAGCTACATCCTCTTATGAAACTCTAATAAGAACACCCGTGACTAAAACAAAAAGATTTGGCCTAGCTTAAAGTCAATCCTTTAAATATAATAAATAAAACATTATAACACATGTTATTTATTAATATATATCAAGCTTAATTTGAGAAAACTATTTTATTGCTTTCTACAGTAACTTTTTACTATCAAAAAATTTAGTTTGAAAGTTTTTTTATAAAAAAAAAATTGATTTAAAAAAGTAATAAGAAAAATTAAGCCTAAGATTTTGCTTTGGACAATTTTTTACTATTTTTTAAAATAATTAAAAAAAATTATATTAAAAATTATAAAAAAATTCTCCCTTACAAAACCTAAGTTTCCATCATTCAAAAATTCAATGAAATGAATACAAATTTTCAAGCATCAATATAATAAGACCTTTAAATACTGGCCCGTAAGAAAAAAGAAAAATAATAATATGAGGTTATACTTCACATCGATTTTTTAATTCTCTAACTAATCAACACCATGCGGCGAATATCCATTTGTCGACGTGGACAACCTGGACCGCATGTGTGATGTCATCCCCGACACAGGTGATGCTGACGTGTACGAAATGTTTGACGAAACTCGGTCACGTGCTGCATAAGTTTTATCTAACTTTTTTTTTTCTTCATAATTTTGGATTTGCTATTTATGTTTATTTAGGGTGAGAGTTAAGGCCTTCCGTGAGCAAGTTTGTACTCCACTTAATAAATGACTCACAAGATGAGTTTTATGAGCTAACGAGCTAAATTGAACCAACTTTGAATCGACTCGTTAGATCGTAATATGACTCGTTAAAAAAATATTAATATACATCATAATTAAAATATGCTAGCTTTTAGAATTTTAGAACAAAATTGTTAAAAAATATTTATAAATTATATTTCACTTTCTTATATTATGTAATTTTTTAATCAATTTATTAAAATTATGCTTGAATCATCATCATTTTATTTTTGTTTTATAATAAACGAGTGGATTCATGAGCTTGATTGACATATTCTTTCATTCAATTCGAGGACTTCGACAAAGAGTTCTAGTGCATTGGCACCAATTTTTTTTATCATTGCTAAAGAGGTCTTTAGCGAAGTATTGATTGAACTACATGTTAGAGGGGAAACAAAGCCATTTCAAGTCCCTCACGGCTGCCCCTCCATCTCCCATTTCAATCTTATTTGTGGATGACACACTAATCTTGACAAATATAACCAAGCTAACTCTAAATAATCTAATGAAGTTTCTCAATAGGTAGTAAAATGCCTATAGATATATAGACAATTCATCGAGAAAAAAAGTTATTTTGTGTCTCAGGGAAGCATGTGACACCTAGCATAAATCATTTCATCTCCGTCTCCCAGCTACTATAGGGTTTGATACGACATCACAAAATCATCTTGATCAAGCACGAATCTCGAGGCAAAAATTAGTTGGAAACTTCAAAAATTAATTTCAGGAGCATATGAACTCCGATTTCAGCGATCTTATAGTCAAACTGAGCGTCTCGGAAATACGAACCCAACGACACCAAGATCAACCCAATCCGAGCCCAAATGAGTCAGAATCAAGGGTGTTGTTGGAAGGTTCAAACCGCAATTTGAGTTATCAAAAGATCTTTGATTTTGAGGAGCTTGTACTCGAATCGAGCGGCTCGACGAGACGAATCCAACGAGCCCAAGATCATTGAATTACGACATCATTAAGGCCTTCAAATGCCCAATGAACGATGCATGATCAAAGGATTTGATATCGGCCGTCCATTCAAACCACTCCCAATTCGCCCTTGATCTCACGCCTATTTACGGGCTATGCCACTCCAGAAAAACTATAAATAGAGCCCTCATTCTACACCAAGGGGGAGGAAGTGAAAAGAGAGAAGAAGAAGAGAAGGAGAAGGAGAAAGGGGAATAGGAGATTCCTCACCTCCTCGACCACCGCCGCCGGAGTTCTTCCTGCCGTCTGAAGACGCCGGAACTCTACCGGATTTTCAGGAAACACCAGGAATTCGCAGAACTTTGTAAACTTCTTGGAAGAAACAAATTGTACTTGGATTATCCCAACTTGTGAGACGAAATCCGCCATTTGTAATCTACAAAAACACTAGTGGAACTTTGCAACTGGGCGAGGCCCCGTGGTTTTTTCCCTTTTTGGGTTTTCCACGTAAAAGCTTTGGTGTTCACTTCTCTTTTCTGTTTGTGTGCGGAATACTTGTGCAACGCTAAGACGAATATTTATAAACTCTACCGCCGCGTATATTCTAGCACGCAACAGGGTTCAACAAAAAATATTTGTCAATACAATACTTTGGGGTTCCTTTATTCTATTATGAGGAGCAACAAAAGCTCATACTCTAAGATATCGGTAGAGATAATCCAAAGGAGAATTTCCACTTGGAAATGCAATTAAGCATCTAAAGGAGGTCGAATAATTCTCCTCCAACTCATAGAAGAAATCTCGGGCTCGAGTTCATACTCGATCATATTATCAAGCTCAAGTCATGGGTGACTTAAGTTCAGCTCGACTCGTTTACACCTTTAAGTTAAACAAATAAATGATCAAATTAATTAACATTAAAATCAAAAAAATTTCTTGAACCGACACAAATTTGCTTTTTCAAATATTTGCTTAACTTTTTTTAATTGGATTTAAAACTGACGTTGACAGTTAAAAATATATATATTTTAATTTGTTATTTAAAAAATGAAATATAATATGACAAAAATTTATAATTTATAAGACATACTACTTGAAAAAATTAAATAATTATTTCATTATTAGTATAATTTAATATTTTTTCTCAAAGTAAAATATCATTAAAGTTTCACTCATCTAATGATTATAATAGAAAAAGCTCTTTCAACTTATATTGCCTCCACTTAAAAATAAATTCTAAAAATTTTTATTTATCATAATTGATTATAATATCATAATTTATTGATATATAAAATTAAATACTACAATGATTCAAAAAGATTAATAAAAAAATAAAGATTATTATTATATTATCTAAGCTTCTATTATAATAAAAAATAAATAATAAAAATATAAATACAGGAATCAATAATGCTTAAAAGATATTAATTTCAATACTCGAAAAAGACGAAAAATATTAAATATGTGCAATAATTACAATTTACAACCACTATTCGTACAAACAAAGCAACTGTTTTCAACGTAATACAAAGCCATTGCGTCCGTTCTCACATTACTGCAATTCTCAATACGTCAAAATTCTCCAAATAAATTTTATTAGCTTAAACAATAAGCATCTCATTAATTATTATTAATTACTTTACCAAATTGTAATTAGAAATACTTAATGACTTTTACTCGTTCTCTTCGCATTATTGGTCTGCAAATCCGCGGGCGCTATCTCTCGAGGAATCCGGTGAGCCGGAGCACCGAGTTTCGCACGTGCCGGAGGTCGCGGCCTTTAAGCGTGCGGCCTTGCCCTGTGCAAACCGAGCACGCGATTTTCTCCCGGGCCCAACGTCGCGCCACCATCTCGTGCGGCGGGAGCATCCCTTCGCCGTCGATATAATCTTCGCCGGTGGCGGGGATGGTTAAGGGTTGGGGGATTTTGATGGGGGGTGACTTCTTCTGTGTATTATCGGTGGCGGAGGTAGTGACGGCAGGCGGAGGAGGTGCAAGAATCCTGGGGCGGCGTTGCTCCGGCCAAAGAACGTCGGCTTCCTGCAGCTCTTCCGGCACCATGATCATCAAGATCATATTTTTATTTGTTTTTTCGCTGACTTTTGAAGAATGGAGCTGTGGGGAGGTGGGAGGCGTCAAGGATTTATAGGAAGGGGAAAGGAGTGCCGTCGTGAGCACACTTTGGTGTGGGGATGGTGTCATCCCGTGTGGGGCCGGAGAATTGTTTAGTTTTCGTGTTTCCCAATAGAAAGATGACGCGTGGTAAATTTATGACGTGGAAATAATTTTTAGAGTGTTGTAGAAAATGAATATCGAATCATTGGCAATAATATTTTTTATTTTTCTCAGGTATGGGATATAACTTGTTCCATTTTAATTTTAATTTTTTTTTTTATAATTCTAATGGTCAATGTGCCAAGTGGAGAAATTAATAAGGGCAATTATGTAATTTTTTAAGATTGAAATATTGGGGCCAAAGTTAGCTAGAGCTAATTTTATTTTATGAGAATGTTGAATGGTGAAAGATAATTTAATATAATTAGATTTGTTTTAGTATATTGATAATAAGAGCGGTGTATTACTATAAATGGTTCAATAATAAATTTGATGTGAGAATTAATATAAAATTTTAGAAATGTATCTTAGAGATTTCATTGAATAGTGGAGTGGGCTGAATGATAGTTCATGAGAAAAAATTGGTATTATCGACGGGTTTTTCGGTGGTAGTATATCTACTAGTAGTAGCAGCGGTGTAGCTGGAGGATATTCCGCCAGTCAATTACCGATGGGTTGTCAAGTGGATAAACTGTTGGAACATTACCGACGAAAAACCCATCGACACTGTCGGTTTTTTAAGCTGACGATAGCTGCTGGCTGAAAATGTGCCGGAAATTGTCCGGTAGAACATATGGCGGAATACCCGTCGGTTTACTTAAACACGACAAAATATTTTCCGGCAGAAATGCAAGTCGGAGGCAACTCTGGCGGAAAAACTGCCGGTAGTACCACCAGAAAATTCCTTATTTCCCCTCATAGTGTTGTTCACGATCATCTTGCTATTCATTTCATTCACGCTTCGCTCAAGAGTCAAGGAAAAGTCATCCTTTGGTGACAGTAAACACCAATGTTGTTGGCGATGATGAGTGAAGACCTTCTAGGCATCAGTGGGCGTTGGCGTTGATGTTAATGATGTGCATTAGCTTTGTTGGTGGCAATGTGCGACAACATTATTGTTGGCACCAATGGGCTTTGAAATCGATGTTAACAGTGGATATCGACCTTAGTGCGACGATTGATTTTGTTCGAAATAGAGTTTGGGAAGCCCTAAGGTTATCTTAAAAATTTATGATCCATATACTTGCATCCAGATTCATATTTGATTAAATAAGTCTCTTAGTGATAACTTAGTAGCTTAAAATATATATAATTCTATATTAGTGAGGTGCAAAAATCATTATCTATAAAGAAAAAAAAAGACTAAAAAAATACGTCTTAGAAAAACTTTTGAATGATCCAATAGCATTCCAATTAATTTTGTTTTATAAATAAATCATTGACCAAACTGAAAATTGTATGAGAGCCCCTAATTATAAATAAGATTTGTTCACAAAATTGGATAAGATATAAAATTATTTATTGATTTTTTTTTCTCTCATCAGCCAATATTCTATAAGTTTGAAATCATGAGAAGAGGACGACTAATTAGTAATATAAATATATCAGACCAAAAGTCTTGAAGGTTCTAATTAATTTTCTATATATTTTTGCTTTGATTGGTGATTTAAAATTATTTTGAGACATTTAATGAGTTCAAATTCATTTGTCAAATTAATTTCTTGATATATTTTAGCATTTTTTTTTAATTTTTTAAATTTACATATGCTATTTAATTATTTATGTTAGCATTTATTGTTGATTAATTAATGAGTTACTTTAATGAGTCATTAGGCTAATCAAGGTTGTTGGATAAGTCTAAAGTGATTAGAAAAGCTCTTAAAAAATGTAATTACATCAATAATATCTACATTAAGGAGAATTTATTCCTCTAAAAGTCTCTAATATTAAAGAAATGTATAAGACTCCTCTAATAATGGAGTATTCAATATTAATGATCTTACTCTTCAAGTAATCCAAAGAGAAGTTGATTAGGGCGTGGGTTTTGATAAGCATAAGAGATAGAAGCCTTCTTTTACTCTGATTACTTGCGTTAGGACTCTAACAAGTAACAACAACAACTTGTGTGAGAGATTTCTCTCAAATTAGACTCTACACTAAAAAAGAATTAATCTAAGAATCAAAATTATAGACCCAACTCTACAAATCAGGAAAAAAAAAAAAGATAAACTATGAACTAATGAGAATAAAGTTTTGAGACGGCTTTCTTAATGTTTTTTAAAACAACTTCTTAGTACAAAAGTTTAAACTTTTTTTTTTTCTATGAAACTGTTTTAAGAAGCAGTAAAAAAGCAATCCAAACATTTACTGTTTCTTAAAACAGCTTTCTAGTACAAAATTTTAAAATTTTTAAGAAACAGTAAAAAAACTATCCCAAATGAAGTCTAAGTCCACTTATGATAATGATCATCATGTAATGCAACCTAGCCTCAATCCATAATGCCATTTTGTGCACTTTGAGCTTAGAAATGTAGCATTCTTTCATTTGCAATGCTTAGATTGATAATATTATGATATTATAATAGCTTTTTCCGTTCTTATAGAATAAACATTTGTGCTACGTTCTTCTACAACATATAACTATAAGGCTTTAAACGAGTTGAGCTTGAGGATTAACGAAGGGTCGATTTGGAATAACTTTCTAGCTGCTTTGTTTTTCATGTAGCAACCATAATTTTTTATGTTATATACTTTCTCACTGTTTTTTTGAAAATTGGTCTCTGTAATCGTATGCAGTATCGAAGTTGTTTTATGCATGGAAATTTCACAACCGACTTTATAAAATGAAGCAGCCATCCCAAAAATACCCTAATTGAGTTCGAGCTTCATTTTACGAGTTTGTATCAGCCCCCAAGCTATCTCATTTACAATAAAAAAAAGAAAATCATTATTATTCAAGAAATTATTATTATAATAATATGGAAAAAAATACAAAATTAAATAAAAAATCACTTGATTTATTGACTCATCGAACTCAGTTCATAAGCCCAGCTCACCCTTGACCCCAATTATATATATATATTATATAAAAGCCTAACCCAAACGCTGCGGTCTCTGTGGGCGATGGCTAATGTTGCAATTTGGAAAGCTTATATATCTTCTATAATTAGTAATTACCTGCCTATCTTGCTTACAATATTATAACCATAATAATGACAGTACTAATAATGAGTCATAATTAAAGATAGGCTACGCTGTAATTTAGACCACACACGTGTCCAGAAATGAACATAATCCCCACGGTTCTTCCATCCTCTCTCTAATCTCTTGACAATCGCTTCAATAAGTACCCTTTACCCAAAAGTCATACAATATTTATCTTCTCAGGTTATTGATTTAGTTAATGATGTTTTAGGTGGCTAATTAGGACTAATGATTATTTAATTATATCACCATTTATATAAATAATCAGCTTGGAAGGTTATTTTATCTCAATTAGAGGTCTTATAAGTATAATAAATCAGGATGATTAACGGTAATTTATATAATCTTTATGATTAAGTTAATAAAAAAAAATATATTTTTTATGCCAACAAATAGGTTGACTAAATTTATATTTATATTTCTAATTCGAATTAATATTAATTTTAGTTGACTAAGTGCTCATGTGGTTATTAAGATTGAAGTTGGTGTTTCTTTGAAGGCAAGCTTAAACGAATGATCTAATCAAAGGTCAAGAGCCTAGCTAGTTCTAATAATAATAATAATTATTATTATTATTATTATTATTATTATTATTATTATTATTATTGTATGCTAAAAAAATTGAGTCGGTAGAGTTTATGTTTCACGTCTTAGTAGTATGCAAAGATTCAACACAAACAGATAAAAATGATAACACAAGAATAATTTTTTATGTGGAAAATCTGAAAAAGGGAAAAACCAAAAGGCCTGGCATAGTTGCAAAATTAATTATGTAGTAAGTGATACAAATATCATTCTTTCTTCCTGTTGAAGAAGAGGAAGAGTATAAATATTAAATGTCCATAGATTGATGATATATGCCCAACAACAAGACTTAATTTTTCCTAGAGGGAAAATCCGATCTGATGTCCACAGGTGGACAAATATACCAAACAGTGGCGTAAAATCTTATTAGCATTCTGATGTCCACAGGTGGAAAAATATACCAAATAATATTTAATTTTTGTAGTTTTTTTGGAGAGTTTTTATTTTATTTTTTTATTAATAATATTTAATTTTTACCAAATGAAATACTCTTATGTTAAAAATTTGCAAAGTTTCAGTTTTTCTCCTCTAAAAATTTTTTATGTTACTAAATGAAATGCTTTTATATTAAAATATTTAATTATATATATAATTTTATATTTATGAGTTTTTAAATAATTTATATTTATAAATTAAATTTAAATATGTAATATAAATTAGCAATAATTTATATTAAATTATATTTCTTTATTTGGTTAATTTTATTAAATTTTTATAATAATATTATTATTTATTACGTCATCCGGTTTGACCGGTCGAACCGTGAACCTCTCCTTCTTCCGGTTCGTTGTCCGATCCGATTTTCAGAGCCTTGGTTATCAATGTATACATATTAAATTGTGTGGCTAACTGCCACCATATTCTTTAATTAAAATATCTAAATATATCAGATTGTAGATGTCAACATCATGACCAAATTGATTGTAATAAATTTATATTTCTATGATTGAAATCGTGAGAATAATTCTAAGCAGATGCATTGTCTTAAACTGGGTCATATATAGTAATTGTGAAAACATTCTACAATTTTTATGTGGATAAACCCCACTCCTCTAAAATGATAATTTCATTTTATATAGGTTGCTAAATGATAGTTGTGAAACTTACAACAACTCTAATAAGTTTCAAATGTTCTCAAAATTTTACACATGAATAGAAGCATACTAGTAGCAATCATAAATATCACTGACCTATTGCAAATAGTCAAACTCAAGGGCCCTCCTCTCTAATGGTCCCTTGGATTTGGAAGATTGGCAACCGATGGAATCGCCACATCGACTAGCTATCTCTATTCCATCATGAGGGTTGAGAGAAAACCAATCAGATCAAGGCCAACCAGGTCCCACTTAGTCCACCTTGTTCTAGTCTATATAGACTCTTGCCTCGACCTTCATATTGCTGAGATTCAATGCTTGATTCGATATCAATAGTCTTGCATGACATAAATGTAAGCTAATTTGACAGATCTTTGCATACAAATAAATAATATCTAACACTTTATCGTAAACAAAATTCCAACCTTAAACTCAGTAATTTCAGGCCAGCTCATTTCAATCCAAATTTGATGAAACCAAATTAAAATTTTGGAAATAATTCGAGCCATAGACTCCAAATTTTTTTAAAAAATTTTTTCTCCTTTAATACATATCTTTCATTGGTTAAATAATAGGATGTAGACATAGATATTACTATTCAATGATATGCTTCAACATAAAAGATAACCATTTTCAGGTTAGGAACATATACCTAAACTAATTATCTTCCCAGTTGCGTACAAATCACATAGATATATTATTATGTAAGCACTGCCCCAAATAAATAAATAGACAGCCCAATTCTGTCGGTCAAAATGGAAGTTGAGCCATAGCTTTTATCCAAACTTCCCCACCCCTATTGCCACGTGTCTGCTTCCTATCACAACGCCACGTGTCTGCTTTATAAGATCCATATGCAAATTGAATAATATTGCATTTGCAAAAATAAATTTATATAAAAATGATAGAATGTAAATATCACTATTTTTTATTTATAAAAATTGCTTAATTTTTTTTTTTTTAATGTTTAGTTCTGCAAATATCATATTGCATGGGACTGTTTCTGCAAAAACACAGAACAGACGTGCTTATCTTCCTTCGAACCCGGCCCCGAACACGTGGCGCTTAGCCAAGCGTACAAGAAATTGCGCTTTGTACGCCTTTTAGTATGATTGCTGTCCTCCGGTCTCTATAAATCCCTCCATCCAATCCTTCAAAACTAAAAGAAACAGAGATTTCTTCCCACAAAAGCAGACATAGAGAGAGAGAGATAATGGCGGAGCTAATGGAGTCCGACGTGATGTGGCCGGAGGACGTGGACCGTCAGATGAGCGGCAAACGGTCTGCTAAGCCGAACAGCCGCAGCGCAGGAGTCGCATGGCGGCGAGAGAAAACGAAGCCGGTAAGCATACCGGCGGCGGAGACGCGGCGGCCGTTCGAAGAATCGGAGTCGGAATCAGAGACGGAAGAAATGGTTCCGCCGCACGTTCTGGTGTCACGCAGATGGAGCTCAGCTTCGGTTGCTTTCTCGCTGTCTTCCGGTCCCGGACGCGCACTAAAAGGCCGCGATCTGAGACACGTCCGCAACTCCGTTCTCCGGATGACCGGCTTCCTGGAAAACTGACGGGAGCTTTTAGGTCATTGCATGCACCTGCAGGACACTGCACCGGCATTCCTAATGCTTTGTTTTTTTTTTTAAATAAAATAAGATAATTATGGAAAAAATAAGCAGTTGAGTTATTATTGGTGGCGATTAGTACGACTGATCAGTTTTGTTTGAGTGCACGTTGCGTTTCTTTACTGGAAAATATATTATTTTAGAAAAAAAAAAAAGAAAATTGTTTGAATTTTATATGTATTTAATATTTGAAATATATTATATTTTATAAAATTAGAAAAAATAAATAAATTGCAATTAATGGCCGACATTTGGTGAAGAACTGACACTGAGGACAGAAGATTGGCCAATGATTAACAGCCCTTTTTTTATTAATATATATAATTATTTTTCAAAATGTTAAAATTAAATGACTTTGTAAATAAATATTTGCATTTAGATTTTGAATTATAATATTTAATTGCATTTTTATCTTATCACATATAGTGATATTAATTGGTTCATATTGCATTTCAATGTTTCATTAGAGTGAGAGTGTGAAGTGACATTGTGAAATTTTGCCTCTAAACTCTTTGATTATATGATATTGGCTTTGGTTTTCATAGAAATTTAACATTCAAATCCTTTAACATAGAAAAGATAAGATGATTTAATCATTCAAACTTGCAAACAGTTAAATTAGCATATTAGGGCTTATCGTAGGAAATTAGTATCTACTATGAATATTATGAATTTATGAGATGATAAATTTTGGCTCTTACGATAGAGGGATGATTAAACAAAGTTCTTCAGAAGATAAGAGAATCACCAAAGTCAACTTTTCGTGTTTATTGAGCATTAATAAGGCGATTTGTTTTAGTAATGATAGGAGTTGGTTGTGTGATGGCGGTTAAATATTAGGAGTAGACTAACTAATGTGCTATGAGAAAGAGGAGTTAGTTAAATGAAAGTACAAGGTGGTTGATTGATGGTTGGATGAAAGAGGATAGACAAATGGGAGCTCATCATTTAGAGAGGTCAATTATGTTGGAGCCAATCAAATGACAAAGATCAAACATGATAGTGCCAAATGGAGAAGGTGGAAAGACTTGCAAGAGCAAGGTTAGTGATCGAGGATGCTTCATAGGGAGGAGATGATTTGATGAAGCAAGCAAGATGAGAAGGAGCTAACTAAGTAGGAAAGGCTAATATGAAAGGCATATAGGGGTGGATGGAGGTTGGATGGGCAAGAGATATTAACTTTACATTAAACTTACTAAAGCATTAACCTCTAATATTTATAACTACTATAACACGCTTCAGACTGCTAATTAGATATGAAGTGTTATACCATAGTATCATAGATGGTTAAAAATTATCAACGACCTGCTCAACGATCTAGCCGCCGAAAATTTTTTGGCGGTATATCTTCGGAAAAACCACCGAAATATTTCATGCGAAAATACCGCCAGTTTATCCGAAATATTTCATGCGAAAGTACCGCCAGTTTTTCCACCGAAATATTTCCTGCGAAAAATTCATTGCTTTTTAATCAATCAAATAACTTCGGGACAATTCAAATTAAGTTAATTTTCATTTTATTAAAAGCATTGAATTTTTTTATCTTATAAAACATATTGTCATAGTTCCAATCAAATAATCAAATAGTTTTTATTAGTAAAGTTTTAGATTTAATTTTATTTAACTCCTCAAAATTGAACCTAATTTAATAAAACATGATTTAATTAAATTTTCTTAAGCTGGTAAATTTTAAATTCTATCAAATCCATATTTTGCTTTGCTTTTTTATATAACAAAGTTAATTTTAATTTGTAAAAGTTAGGGTAAAATTTTAGTAGATTGAGAATTTCAAGGAATACACTCTTTTGTTTCTTTATATAATTTGTATACATGAATAATCGACAATGAAATTGTCATTTCTAAAAATCATTCATCAAAATTTGTTAAATTTAAATGATTTTTTTTCTTTTTTTAATTAGGATATATATATATATATTCTCATTTATATTTAAACAAATAATTTTACTGTTTGCACCCATTAAAAAATAGAAATTAGAACATGCAATTGATATGCCACTCTCTTGATTGATAAACTCAGTCCTCATCCCAAAAAAGGGGTCCCCATTGAAATCCTAAAAAAAGCTTAGAAAAAAAAAAAAAAAGAAATTAAAATAAAGAACCTTTATGTACAGCTCAGTGCACAAAAGGCCGATTTATTTTTTTATGAAAAATATGCCAAAAATTCACCTTTATATAATAATAAAAATAAATTAATAATAATAATAAAAAGTGCACGCATAAAATGCGTGACACGTGAATAAGCACAACTACAGAAGATAGAGACATAATTGATGCCACGTCGACGGAATGTGGATGATGGCCTTATCATTTTCTTTCCATTTATTAAGCTCTCCATGAAGATCGATGAAGGTAAGTGTGTGGGACAGAAGGCCCTTTATTCTGGAGGAGACAAATGGCCATTGGCTTTTCTATGGATAAACTTTGGTAGGTGACTAGGGGAATCACATACTATATATATATATATATATATATATAGATAGAGAGAGAGAGAGGAACAATTATTAGGTCTGGACACCGGACGTAGCTCTACATCCGGAGGCCAATAACATTTCGCCACGTGTTCTTACTCTTTACCATGCGGCCCGACGACCCGACCCAGACCGGAACCCGGTATTGCTATGTTCGCGTATTGCTAGGTATTGCTTGACAATAACGAGAAATACCGCTATGTCAAGCCAAATACATAGCAATACCAAGCAATACCTAGCAAAACTGGGGTATTGCTAGGTATTGGTATTGACATAATGGTATTTCTCATTATTGTCGGGCAATATCAAGCAATATCTAGTAATACCCCGGTCTGCACAAATCAGCCAATACATAGCAATCCCGGGTCCGGTCAGGGTCGGGTTGTCCGGCTACGTGGTAAAGAGTAAGAGCATGTGGCACCATTTTACTGGCGTCCGAACGTAGAACTACGTCAGGACACCAGACCAAATAAAAATTCGAGAGAGAGAGGATACCCTGACATATTTTGTGATAGATTGGACCTCAAAATTCTTAAATTTGTGTTGAGATTGATGCTAGATATAGTATTCAAGTATTACACTAATCTCAACACCAATTTAAGGAATTTGAAGTCTATATTGTGTACTGACATATTTTATGACAAGTTGAACTTCAAAATTCTTAATTTGTATTAAAATTAGTGTTATATATTATATTCAAATGCTATATTAACGTAGGGGAGCAAACGAGTCGAGTCGAGCTCGATCGAGTTGAGGGGTGTTCGAGTCGAGCTTGCGGAGGGTTGTTCATGCTCGAACTCGATAAGCTGTCGAACTTGACTAGCTCAACTCATCTACCTGTTACAAGTCGAGCTCGAATCAGCTCGCGAGTCAACTTGACTCAATTACACCCATATATTAACGTCACCATGAATATAAAAAATGTATGTTAAGGGTAGTGTTATATATTATTTTCGAGCGTTCTACTAATTTCAGGACAAATATAAATTAAAATGGATCAAGATATCCAGATGCGTACATTTTTTTTCTCTACATAATCTTTAAGTAATAGGAATATATTAAAATTATTTTAAAATTAGTGTCATATATAAATAAATAATTATTATTTTTTATACCTATCACAAAACTCATTGTGATGTAATTTTATTTTATTGACAAAATATTAAATAAATTCATATTTATGTGCACAAGACCAATAATTCAATTCAGAGCCGTGTTGGATATCATTTGTGAGTCTCTTAAATTTTTTTATATATATTTCAATTAAATATATTTTTTAATTATTTTAAGTTTTTTAATAACTCCCTTAATCTTAACTTTAATTTATATCTCTTTTGAACTTTTCAAGCTTGCAAATGTACAAATCAATTGTTTTGTGTTATCCAATGAAAGTGTGTAAGCAAACTTGCATGCATATTAAGTGAGCTATACCTTCTAATATAATATGAGAAAATAATCAAAATATTTCATTTTTTTTAAAGAATAAAAGACGATCATTTTGATTAAAAATAATTCATTGTCTCTTTATGAATGATCAAAATTCTCCAACTATATTAAATAATAATTAAAATTATCTCATCATTTTTTTAAGAATTTAAGAGCTCAAAATGATCATTTAATATAATTTAAAAACATTTTAATCCTTTTCCCAATGCAATATAGTTGACAGTGAGCATTGATGTACAAGTTCTATTTCTAGGCTCAACATATTGATTATATTCAAATTGTGGATGTTAAACAGTGATGGCCATGACACAAGTAATTGATTTGGGTGATTGAGTTTATGGAGCTTTAGGTTTCATTTGAGACGATTTTTTAGTGCTTCTTAAATCAGTTTTCTAGTATAAAAATTATAATTTTTTACTAAAAAATTATTTTAAGCAGCAGTAAGAAAGCTGTCCCAAACGAAACCTTAGATTACATAGCCAAATTAGACCAACAATTTACGACCGTGACTCTAAACATTGATGATACATGACAACATGCATATAGTCGAAGAGCCACCATGAATCAATTATGATAAATCACATATCCTCACTATTAAGATATCTAATTTAAAATCATCAAATCTCTATATGATCTAATTACAGGCATTCCACACAACTTTACTCCATAATTTGAACATTCTAAAGAAATCAAAACATAGCAATCATTATAAAATAACTGGACAGTTAGACTATAAACAAGAGACGAAATATATCTACAACATCATAGAGTTTCATAAATATCACTTCATGTAAAAAAGCTTCTCTAGCATTGGACACAACAACAATATAACTAACATGATAATAAAATAGATTACTAGATACTTCCAGATCTGAGAACAACGTACTAACCTTATAAATGTTATCACCATCTCTTCAAGACCTTCCATTACCGTTGCAATGGTGGTGGTTGGCACTGAAATGACCATTCTGGCTGCAAGACATAGCCAATTGCTTCAGAAATGACATTACCTCCTTCGAAGAGTTCAATAGATACCTCGCATTCGATTGTTTTCTTCCAACGGCACATGAGAAGTAATTGTCTCCCTTCAAATCAAGAATAGAAGAGCCCTCTTGCCAGGACATCATCTCTTGCGGAGACAAACGAGAATTTGGATTGTTATTTTGACTTGCTGAAGACACCTTCCTTTCTGATGCTAAGTTCGGCTTCTGGTTCTTTGAATGTGATGTTTTTGAACTGTTCTTGATGTTTGTTTGCTTCCCGCTATGCCTCTTCTCAGCAGGGGCCTTCATTACTTCGGCTGTCTTCGTACGAGCAGAATTGAAAGGTTCTGATGGAAGCTCTGGCTCGAAGAAAGTGTATATGTCCTCATCCTGGAAAGAAATGGTGCCGTCAAAATGATTTAGCTTTTAACTTTTATCTTATTATATCCTACTAGGTTGAGTGGTAGACCTTCACTATAAGAAAAAATCTTTCGATAATAATTTTAGGTTCAGTGTTATTACAAATATCATTGATTCATTTCCTTTCTATCAATTGATGTTAATGTTTTCCTTGATAAAAGATATTTAAAGATTCTATTTATGCAAGAAAAAATCATTTCACATGCAACTACAATTACAAGCCTTTATCTCACTGCATGTGGTCGACTACATGAATCCTTTTCTCCATTGTGTGCAATTAAGAGTCAAATTTTAATTTAAATCTAATAAAGAAAAGTCATTTTGCATATTTATGAATTTTTCTTCTAACAAATATTTATATATGAATAATTTTATCTTAAACACAAAATTGTTTTACTTAGATCATTTCATTATGTTTTGTACAAAGGGTGTATCACCTTCTTAACTAAGGATAGGACATGTTTGTCAAACAAAAGATCCCAACATATTAGATGATGAATTAGGATATTAACATCACCTTAAAGAATAAAATATCACTATTTTTAATATTTTAACCTCACGGTTTATATGATCTTCAACCTGAACTATCTAGAAGTTGTGCATTAAGCATCAACGTTTTCTCCGCTTACTTTTAGGCTTCGTTTGATTTCTTTACCTTTTCTGTTTCAAAAATGTCAATCGAAGAAATGGAGGTTTTAAATGGAGAAGCTACTACCATAACGCTTCTCAAAACAATAAAAAAATGGAGTTTCCAAAAAAGTATGCATCACATTCAAATAGCGAAGAAAAATAATTTATGCCCTTTGGAATAAGTAAAGGTAAAATTACACCGTCTCAAACGAGGCCTTAGTTTTTCTGTTTTCTCATATTCCCTTATTTGGAATCAGTACATAGTGTTTTCTATAATCACATTTCAATTAAGAAAATGCACAAAGTAAATAACTTCTACTGATTTATACCAATACGCTCAAAATCAATTTATAGCAAATGTTTGCTCTTTTGTAGTTTCAGTGAAATAAAATCTACCTTTGCCAAAAAGTGTCCGATGCATAAAACATAATCTATTGGTGTAACCATCTTCTTGCTATGCACAATTTCTCCCAATATTCGATCAATCGCAGCGCCCTACAAGTAAGAAAATATTAAAAAACAAGTTTATTCAATAAGTAATGCAAGACATCGGAATTGGATATGGAGATAGGGGTAGTATTTTAACAGATTAAGTCCGAACATCATTATGAACAACAATGGCACATGGAAGAAAACAATCACAATAATAATAATAAAAAAAGACGATCAGTAGCAAATGAAGATTCTTGCATTGCTAAATTAAGAGATCAGAAATCATGAAGATAAACTATCATGTGCTCTACCATGAAAGCACACATCTACGTGGGTTCATACAGTGGATGATGAGTGATACATCTCAAGTGACAACAAAAGCTTTTCTCCACAATGCTGTAAGAAGTCAAAAGCACAAAGAGGCCACACACTTTCTAACGGGCATCAGACCAGCCACATCATATCAACTACAATTAAACATCCGCAAAACTCTAAGCTGTAAGTTGTGGCCTAGGATCAAGCTTATATTCAAAATCTCCAAGTTCAGAAGGGAGCGTCAAGGCTCCAAGTTCAGATTTTTATTTTGAAAGGTGTTTATTTTACCCCTTTCATCAGCATCTCAGAAAACCATTCCCTACAAGTTCCTTTACTGAACGTCAAAATGCAAATATGAAAATGTGAAATATTTCATCATGGACAAAATTTTAAGCACACAAATTGCCGCATGGAATTTATTTCATAACATATTGCAATCTCGGCAAAATTAACACAGACCTCAATTCAGATAATTGGACAGAAACAAAAAATATATCTTCATATGCATCTATCTTATTGTACTTTTATACAACTGTATAAATATTATGAATTGGCAAGCCCTGCTGCACAACCGTAACCATAAATGAGACTCATTGAAGTAAAATCACAGCCCGCTGAAATTCCAGCTCTACTAAGTGCTTTGATTTTTTAAAACATTGAAGTTTCTAAGAAACATATAACAAATGCATAAATATTTTTTCACATGACCAACCAGTTTGCATTCTCATACCTTAGTGACTCCTACTGAACGGACCTCAACTGATCGATTGCCTTGGACTACATCAACGGCTGCATTAGAAATTGGACCTGTCCATAGATGCTGCAGCATATCCCTTGCTTGAAGTTTTCCAAATTCAACATCTTTATAGTGGCGATAAGAGAGTAAAAAGTTATCAATAAGATGAGAAATTAGATTATTGTAACATATGACCGTTGTTTGGAAATTACCTGCATACTTGTAGTTCCATACGAGTGAGGTCTCCCGATGCTCAAAATGAGACCTAGGCGTTCTTTCTGTAAAATACTCAAAAACATGCTAGCGAGTGCAATGAAAGAAAATGTTTTAATGAGAATTAAATATCTACTTGATCAAAACAAATGCAGTTATGAATATCAAAAATAAAACCACCTTTACACTGTCAACCCAATCCATGTTAAGATGTTCTGGCATTGTCGTCATCCACTCTCCATCTGTAAGACGCAAAAACATCCCATTTTCTGCCGCTAGCCACATATTGTATTCCCCAAAATTCTGCAATTGAAAAGCTTCAACAACAACAAAAATTTGATAAAACAGAAACAAGATTTTGTCATAATGCCGCACATCATCAAGGACTCTTCTATCACTTCCACTGAGAACAACAACAGTAGTCTTTGGATCATTGCAAAGCGTTTTCAACGGGTCTTTTAAGTCTAGGTGAAGCTTAAGCTCCATCTCCTTAATTTGATCGCCTCCCCTTCTACCAGAGGATTCAACCAGTTCTGTTAGGGTTGAATTGAAACCCTGCAGTTTCACAGCATGTACAAAAAGCAAAAATGACCAACATAAACACAAACCATTGAGAAGTAGGTCATAGAACTCAAACTACATTTCATGATAACCATTCAGCAAGAAACACTGCAAAAAATCTGATTGTTAAAAAAGGTACAAGAAGGTGGTAAAGTGCAAAGGCATACCCTTTCAGTTTACATAACAGGAAATTCAGCAGGTGGGATTTTTTGTACCATTTTTCCACTTCTTAACATAGAAGTATATGCCATTTCTAAAGGAAAAGTGTTAGCTTGCCGTGTAGTCGATAGGTCTCCCGCATTAGAATCACATGCTTTCAATGCATACATGCTATTTTATGCTAGCATGTTCAAAATATTATCTTTTAATTAGGATAATATTTCAGGTTGAGACAGTTCAGTTTAGGCACATTTGGTAAACACTATAATTAGTTACAAAGATTTAAAACTAAATTATACCAGGCTCTATTTCAATGAACTTTTAATAAAGGCATGATGCTGCATAATATTTCTATTACTTATCCATCTTAGCTTATCATACCTGATCATTATGAATCCTGTCCAATTATTTGTATTAACTTTATTAATCCTCATTGTCCATTCATTTTTATCCGACATTGCATGAGGTGATAATTCAATTTTGTGCAAATGTTTTATCATATCTCATTAATTTTTGCTGACCGTTTGTTACATTTTTACCCTCCATGCATATGCCAACATCATCTGAAACTATTTTTCACATCATTATCTTCTGTCAAGACTACTATCTACCTAATATAATAATTTCTCAATCTATCAATCCTAGGTTTGCTACTCATCCTAGATTTCCATAAGAATTTTACAATTGGAGGACATTACCAGTATAAGGAGACGATTCTTGGACTGCAAATATTGTCCAATAGCTATTTCAGAAGGAAGAAGCGGTGGAACCAGCTTTGTTCTTATTTGAGCTTCAACAACTGTATCATTAAGTTCACTGCAAGAATAAAAATGTCAATAGATTAAAAATGTTTACAAGGTCAGGATCTTCAATCAGTGAATGGGCCGAAATTGCCGAGGTTTTTGGATGGTAAATAAAACTAGTTCGCCAAAAAACTTGAATCCAAGAAGTTCTTAACTAAGAACCAAATTGCAAATTTTCATAAATATATCGTTTTACAAAAATACATGTTCTGAAAGTTTTAGGTGGTTTTTAGTTGAGGTAAATTATTTCTTGTGACAATTACATGCAGCTAGGCCTTGTGATGGAATAGACAAATAAATAGTTTGCTGGAAAGAAAATTGCGCCACTTATTAAAAAAAAAAAATCAAATACATGATAGATAATAAGTGCAAATAAGGCAAGCAGGTGCTCCAATTTTTTATGTTATTGCAGAGAGGAAAGCTGTGCAAGCTAGCCAAATAAATGGAAGATCCTTGGTGCAAACTATCCAATAGAAGTGAGACAAAAACTTTCAAAATAGATAGACAGGAAAATATTGTTTATTACACAGAACTTGTATTTATAAAGATTACCACCTCCTGATACCGATCAGATTCCTACCTTACAAAAGTTTCTGCCCAGTCTTGGGCTGTGTGTGTGGTTACATGAGCGTAGTTATGCCTATGCCGCTTTTCTCTCTCATCAGCAGCCATGTTCAATGCTTTTGCAATGGAATCAGCAACCTCTGTAATGTTCCATGGATTTACAAGAAGGGCACCGGCTCCAAGAGACTGTGCTGCTCCTGCAAACTGTAGCAACTCACAATATAAGAGATAAAAGTTGTCTACAGTATGTTAAGCAAAAAAAAAAAAAGAAAGATATTGTTCATTGTAATCGCTTTCATGCAATACTCTGGTGTCTTTTTTCAGTAAATGTGACTGCAGAACATGCAGTACATAAATGAGCAAACAAACCCTGTTTGATAAAAAGGAAACACCAGTATAATATTCTAGCATTTCCAATAGGTAAGCACAAACTTTGATAGCTTTATTAGAAGATATTGCAGAGGCATTGACATTTGTAATTTAGGGTAGGAAACATTTAGGAGCCACAAAACTATTTTATTATGAAATAACAAAATTTTGCACTTTATAGATGATAAAGTACGCTTATTGATGAAATACTTACTTCGCTTAATATCAAAACACCCTTTTTTTCACCTTGGCAAGCCACAAACTCATAGCTTACAAGATTCATGCCATCTCTCAGTGAGGTAACAAGAGCAACATCTGAAATTTTTTAAGATAAGACAATTAAATAATTGAAAAGGTAATATTAACAATTAACATTGAGGCTTCGTTTGGGGCGGCCTTTTTACTGCTTCTTAAAGTAGCTTTCTTGTATAAAAATTTTAATTTTTGTACTAAAAAACTTCTTTAAGTAGTAAGAAAGCCGTCCCAAATAAAGCCCGAGTAAAAATTCCTAAAGCAAAGCATCAGATGGAAAAGTTATTAAAATTAATATTCTTTATATAAGACAAGAAATGTCATCTGTCATCTGGACAGGCTCAATAGCATGCATCTATGAGCAGGGCAGCTAGAAACAGATACGTTCTGATACATAAGGAACAAACAGTATTCAAGGATGTAATCACCTCCATATCAGAAAAGACGGAACTGATAAACCTTAAATAGGGAGATCTTGCTAATTAAATTATCAGCTCTATCTACACAGATGTATGCCAGTTGCCAAATTATAATAAAATTGTTACATCTGGATGAAAAATACATAGCAATGAACAAGCACCAAAATGAAGAACTGAAGAAGAGCTTATGTATGTTGTTTCCTTTGCAATAATCATGGAGAAAAAGAACATAGAAACGTGAAGTTCCAATGAACAGTTAACAGTCTATGAGAACAACAGTTGCTGTAAAGCAATAATATGGCCAAAATACAAAAACTTTAAAAAGGAAAACAAAAATGGTAAATAAAAGGAATATCATTACCAGTAACAGCATAAAGTGCGCATAATGCATGAAAGTCAAGGGAGCGGTCCTGCAAAAGAAAATAAAGTTTTTAAACTTTTAGTTTTGAACTCTACAAGTTTCAAGACCCGTCAATGTTTGAAAGAGAGACAGATGAGAAGGTAAGGTTTCCTACAAGCGGAAGGAGTTTCTGTGAGAAAATTTAATTATTTTTGTTTTCATTAGGTACCAAGCTAGAGCATTAAACTTGTGAAATTGAATCAATAAAACATGTAGCTGATACAGGAGTGATTTATTAAACAAACTCAACCAGTTCTTATGAGATGATGGAGCAAGAATTAAGAGCTGAGATTTATAATCAGACCAACAACAACAACAATATCAAACCTTTATCCCACAACATGGGGTCGGCTACATGAATATATTTTCTTCATTATGTCCTATTAAGAGCCAAATTACCATTTAAATCTAATAAGAAAATGTAATTTATGATACTTTATAACAAAGTTTTTTAGGTCTACCTCCACCTTTCTTAAGGTAGGTTAGATCTAATTCATCTACTATCCTAACCGGTTTATTGGAAGATTGGCATTTTATGTGACCAAATCATATAAGCCGACTCTCACTATAATCATATATGCCAATGGAGCTACTCCAACCTTTTCACGTATATACTCATTTCGCATTCTGTCTCTAAGTATCAAGCCACTCATCCACCTGGAGCATCCTCATCTCTACAGAACTTAACTTAATTTTATGCTTCTCTTTTAATGGCCAATATTCTGTATCATAAAGCATTGCAGATCATATTATAGAATTTTTCCTCAAGTTTGAGGGGCACTTTTCTATCTTTTTTTGAGAAGAGGGGCACTTTTCTATCACACAATAGGTTTGATGCATTACTCCACTTTAACCATCCAACATGAATTCTACTAATAGCAATGAAATCATAGGAACACATCATAGCAATGTTCATAGGAGGTTTGCATGTAGCTAAAATAATGCCGAACACTCTAATGTTACCAAGCAATTGTTAAGATTTGAAAAACAACAACAACAACAACGGACTTCAAAGAGCCGCTCATTGAGATCAGGACAAGAACCGCACAAAGCTAGCAATCAAGCCTATGAAGGGAACAACTATTTCGCCACACCAAAATGTTCCATTTGACTGATCCCAATTTGCCAATGAAAAAAATAAATAAATAATAATAATAAATAAAAAATTCTCCAATAGGACTAAACATTAAATACTATATGTGTCTAGTCTGTACAAGATAACTAGTACTTGATCCTATTATTTGCTTCGTATTATGGCGTCACTGAAAAAAAAATTGAAATAAACTATTCCCAATACAATCAATATACGAAGAAGTAAATTAAAGAGCAATCTAAGCCCAACTTGAAGAAAAATAATATACAAACAAAGAGGACCAATACAAACCAGGTGGTGTATGGGAACGGCAGTTAGTGTTCCAAATCGTCCATTTATACGTCCAACAATTTCATGAACTTGACAAGTAAGCTTTTGATCTGTTTCAAAGAAAGGAAAAAAGGAAACTAAAAAAGATTCTCCAAAAGCCATAAAGGTAAGATCCATGAACTTGGAACATTACTGCAAATCATCAAGAACAGAAATATGACATAACCTGAGTTCATACATACAAGCACTAAACAATCAATAGTTAACTATATGTAAATAAAAAAATTATTTAGAAAATTATGATTTTGTTTTCACTTATATTGTGCGTGAAAATGAAATTAGCATATCTATGGGATTTTAAAAGTGTTTAATATGGTTTAAAACCAATAATGATTTCTAAGTGCATCAAACTAAATGAGATGGTAAATTCATCATTTTTTAATACTTTTTTTTCTAAATTCGAGTAACCAAATGGGCCCTATGTGGGCTCCGAAAATTCGGCCCCGGCCTCCGCTCGCTCTTTCTTATTCGGCGAGGGAGTTTTAACGGACTAAGTTCCGAGGTAAATTTTGGAAGGCAGATGGGTTTGTAGATAAGACACTACCCAGAGATTTCGCCCTCATTTTGTGAGGACTTTATGATCTGAGTTCTGGTTTCCTATAGGCGCAAGCCCCTATAGTTAATTACCCCTCCCTGATCACGAGAGAGAACTTTCGATTAAGGCTAGTCGTCGATCAGATACGTATAGAGATACGTGTATCTGGCATATAGTAGCAGCAATAGATTGGATACTGATAGAAATTGGATTTGAAAATTGGGTTTTGATTTGGGTACTTGAGAACTGGATTTGGATTTGGGAATTTGGAGAATTTGATATTTAAAGTAGAAATTTCACCATCCTGCACTTAAAGCTGATGGTGGGGGAATGGATGATGGACCCGATCAAGATCCCATGGTTCCGTCATCCCGGGCCATCGTGGTCCCTGGTCTACTTAGTCAGAGGAGGTAGTCGACCCAACCTGACAGAAGGATCCTTGTCGGCAGCCATGGGTTGCTTCGTCCAAGGGAACCTTGTAGACCGGGGTTGAATGTTTGTCAAAGGGGACAAATTTGAATCCACCTTAGCTTACAGAGGGCTTTGTGCCCTATCGATCATATCCTATTGATTCATATCTCAAGGATTTAACGCCATTAAGGAGCGTATTGGCTCTGGCCATAACCGCTATCTGTGGTGCCATTTGGCGGCAAAACCACTCGGTTCAGAGGGCCCCGGGTCATAACCGTTTACCTGCAGTGCCATTTGGCGGCGAAACTGCCGGTTAGAGGACACGTACCACGCCCTTACTGGCAAGAGATTGTTTGAGAATGGATCCTAGTAATATTTTCGACTAGGCATTTGGCTCTTTGTGAGCTAGAGTTTATTTAAATTTGTCCACCCCGACAGACTGTTGCGGAGGGTGGATGGATTTTGCTTTAAGTCGGTTTTTCGGTCCGCCGCACACAACGGAAGCGAGAATCTGAGTTTAGGAGATTTCGTACCTTCGCGGGCTTGTCGGCGGTGTCGGTTCGAGGATTGAGGGAGAGAGGGGCAAGCATTTTATGTATGTATATTTAATTAGATTAATATTAGTTAACTATAATTAATAATAATTAAATTTAATTAATTATAAATAACTAAATTAATGATAATTAATATATAAAAAATGAAATAATTAATTATGAATAAATTTAATTATTCATGATTAATTAAAAATTATCATTTTCCTTTATTAATTATAATTAAAATAATTAAATTATAACTAAATTAATTAATTAAAATTAATTATCATTAATTAATATTAATATAATTAAATATAAAATACATATATTTTTTTTATATATATTTTTTTTTGTTGATTTATGGGATTTGGCCGAGAAGCACAAGAAAGGGAGAAAGTTACCTTCACAGTCTTTGAGCTCCCGTTGTTGCTCGAGCTCAAAAGGTCGTGACTTCCGATCTTACAGGAAGAGAAGCCGTCGAAGGAGGAGTCGGCGGGTTCCTGGGCTGGATCGGACAAAGGCAGAGGGAACGACGTCGGGCTGAGGGCGTTCGGCCAGAGGAGGTAGAGGGGAAGGAGCAGTCGGTTGGAGAGGGAGAATCGGGCAGAGGAGGAGATCGACGGGGTCTCGGCTTGGAGTGGAGGTAGGGAAGAAGCTCTTCCTCTCTCTTTCTCTCTGTTTCTCTCTCTCGGAGAAAGCCCGAGAGCTCGGTTGGATGAGCTCGGGAGGAGGCCAGATGGTTGCGGCTTGGAGTCGGGAGGAGATCGTCGGGATGAGAAGTTTCGGTGGCTAACTAGAGGCGGAATGGAGGTCGGAGCTGATCGTCTGCTTGGGCTCGGTCGGTTTTGACAGACGAACAGGGATGAGAGAGGGAGAGGGAGCGGGAGGAAGAGAGGAGTTTGTGAGTGTCGTGTGAGATCGATCGTGAATGGAAGAAGAGAAGGCGTCGGTCGTGTTTTATAGGCGTGAATGGGATCACTGTGCGAGGATTTTCGCAGGATTTCTGGGAGACGACTGCAAGCAGCGCCGAATCAGCGGGATTTCGGGGTTCGACAGTCCGAGGTGCTCAGCAGGATATCCGGGATTCGAGCAGGACTTCGACGACTTACGAGGTATGCGGTATTTCGGTGATTCGACGAGCTACGAGGTGAGTTGCTCTCTCTTCTTTTTTTTTTTTTTTCTTATTGATTAGTACTTAGAGGTCAACACCCTAAGAAAAAATCCAAGTAGAGAAATTACTCACTTCTCACACAACTAAGTTTGTATGCTTTGCACTCTAGGCATGTTCTACTTGCCACCATCCCAGGCTTCCCTTGCAAGAATGCTCCCTAGCGCCAAGCTCACTTGTTGCTACTTGCAGATCTTTATCCACCCAACCAGTTATCTCCCTTGATTCCACATAATTTTTTTTTATTACAAAAATTTTCCCAAAGTTTTTGTTTACAATCATTTTGTTAAAATTTTAGCAACATATCAACGTCTCCCAAGAAAAACATGCATGGCGAGTATCGTAAGACACCAAGGCCAGGGGCCTTCTATCCCACTATGACGAGAAAGATCATGTACATATTAAAGATTTTTTATGTTTTAGGAATTTATACCTTCTCATGAGGCCGCGGCGGCAACGACAAATAGTATTTTTTTAGTGTTGAAAACATAAAAATTTATTTCTTTTTTTTCTCTGTTTTTTTTTTTTTTACTCCTTTTTACTTTATAGAGAGAGAGGGAATTGCTCCCTGTTAGAGAGAAAGAATAGGAGAGAGAAATTGAAGAGAAGAAAGTAGAAGAGAGGAAAAAGGGAGCTGCAAGGTCGGGTTTAGAATAGGATAAGGAGGAGAGGGAGTATTTTAGAGAGGGTAAGAAGTGAGAGAGAAAGGGGATTGGCTTGGAGAACAGTGAACGGTGATTGAAGGTGGCAGCTAGGGGGTTTCAAGAGTAAAAATTGGGGGGCTGATGGCGATTAGGAGGAGATGCAAACGGACAAGGAGTGCAGGTTATTGAGGTTTTGGAGCATGATATGTGTGAAGATGTGTGAAAAAATGGGAAGAGAAGTGTGTGCATTTGAGGAGGAATGGAGCAGATCGATGTTTGGTGAGAGGAGGCTAGCTGCAAGAAGATTACATGGAGGTAAGGGGAGGATTCGTCGGGGACTTGAGTACTTGTATGCAAGCTAGAGAGAGGGCAATCAGGATAGCGAGCTTAGGTGGGTTCGGGTAGGCCAACGACTTGTAGCTATAGATGAGGGCCAATGAGATGACTGTGCACTTCCTCATCTTGTACTCAAATAAATTATTATGTTCACTTTTTCTCGTGTACTTCCTTCTTGCGAGTATCATTTGCATGCCATCATCTTGTACTCAAATAAATTTCAGTCTTTTCACATGTGCAACAACCCATATAAGATAAGTATCATTTTTGATAAATTTGACATTTCGAACGCAACGTCAAATTCCATTTCATGAATGGATGGCGTTCAAGCAACATCACATAGTTAGTCTACTGTGTTTCAACCGCATTCACCCGAATCGAACGGAGATGATCCTTTTTGGGTATTTTTGACGTCCTAAACGAAACAACAAAGTTTATTGCACGAACAAATGACGTTTAACAGAGCTTGCGAGACGTCGTGCTCGTAGACCATTGTTTTCATCATCGTTTGATTAAGTCACGCATAGGTGCTTCTTTGATAATGTTGGTGTTCTAAACACCTTGGTGCAGTCAATTTAATGAACATATTATTGGTTTTGATCGCGAGTGAGGCATCGCCAACTCGTTACATGCGACATCATGTCAGTCGACCACCATTCTCGTTGCACTCTCTCAAATTGATTGCTATAAGTATACGGAGGTCAATAAAAAATAATAACATTTTTTTTGTAACACTTGCCACATGCGAAATTCAAGAATTTATAGGAGAAAATTTTGAGCCAACTTGAATAACTTGATAGAAATTAAGAAAGCAATTTTTTTATTTATACATTAAACTGCTGATTGTTTACTAGATAGTCAAAACATGAATTTCAATTTTATAGCCATTTACTTCTTCAATTTATCCTAAATTCTTGCTCAAAGCTTCAGAATAGATATTCAGTAGCCTTTTTATCATCCTTTTTATGGCACTAGATACTAAGAAAATGAATAACCAATCATGGACCATCAAATGTTAACACCATAAAGTAAAAGTAGGAACATACACTCAGGAACGTCAGTTCTTGTTGGAACTGCAATTTGCAGCAAGATTACTTTATTATGCCAGGCCGGATTCTCCTCAAGGAACTTTTCAAATGCCAAAATCTTCTGAGGAATCCCTTTAATCATGTCAAGCCGATCAACTCCTAACATCACCTAAAATATCCGGAAAGAAACATTAACATGTGAAGCATAAAAACAATGATAAAAATTTAAAAGCACGCAGGATACAAAAATCTAACTATAATAAGAACAAAATTACAAATTATAAACCACATAGAAGACAATTATCTAACTATATATAGGCGACAAATTCTTAGGAGTCCATAACTCATGTTCTGAAAAACATTAAGAAAGTGAGAGTCTAATTTCTACCTTAAAAATTATTAGATATTTGTCGCTAGTTCATTAAGAGTGTTTTGAAATTTTTATTATAATTTTCAAATACCCTGATTTTTTTCTTTATAAAGAGAATAGGGTACCTTATATTGTATCAAATAAATTAGAGTTATAATTTATCCATAATCAATAGTAAACTTTGTAACAGAGACTATAGATAGGAGGAAAATCCTTAGGAGTCCATAAATCATTTTCAAAAAAATCATTAAGAAAGTGAGTCTGATTTCTACCCTAAAAAAGAATTAGATATTTGAGGCTATTTCATTAAGTGTTTTTGAAATTTTTGTTGTATTTTTCAAGCATCCTAATTTTTTCTCTCTTTTTAAAGAGAATAGGACATCTTCTATTATATCAAAGAAATTAAAGTTATAAGTTATCCAAAATCAAACCATAGTGAAATTTGTAGCGGAGGCAACAGAACGAGTCATCAATTTGATGAACATGCATTAATTTTTGTGCATTCTGACGAGGGCATCAGTCATAGATTTCGGCATGTGTACCGTCGACGGAATCGTAGACTGACGGCTACGATCCAGAGTCTTTACTTTCGATATATTTTGTGTTTTATTTATTTTTGTATTTCTGTTTTCCAATTTTACACCTATGGGTAGTGAGTCTCTATTGTAGCCTCGAGGGCATTTGTGTCTTTCTGCTTTTCTTATTATTGAGGCCTATATATTAAGGTCTCTTGGATTTGTATGGGTTAATGATTTGATGAATGAAATTTTATATTGTTGGCCTACATGTTTGGGGAAAGCTTTCATTCAATTTGAAATTCAAATTTGAATTTCAAAAACTTTCCTAAATTAGCCAAGTTAAATTAGGAAAGTTTTCCAATTCAAATCTAATTTAATTTTAAATTAAATTGGAATCTTTATTCCTTTACCTAACTTGGATTAATGCATTAAGAAGCATTAATTTTCCTCCCAATCTCCCTCCTCCCCTAATTATGTTGCCGGCCCCCTCTTGATTCCCAATTTTTTTGAACTCAAATTTTGAATTCTTAATCTTCCCTCCAACCCATTAATTATATTAATTAAATTATCTTCTTTGGGAAATTAATTCAAAAGAGAATCAAACCTCATAACCTCTCCCCCTTCTCATAGCTGGTCCCCTCTCCTCCCACTTCCGCCGCCCCACCTTCTCCTCCCCTTTGATCGCTCAACGCTGGCCAAGCCTTCCGAGCCGCAACACACCAAACCCTCCCATGACCATGTATGGCGGATCCGGAAGTTGATCACGTATTTGCTTTCAATTCTCAAGGGGAGATTGGCATCATCCAATCAACGTTCTTCAACCTTAGATTTGGATCCGAAAGCACTGTCGAGGAATACGTCAATCGCATTCTCTTCTATTAGCGGACGTCATCGACGAACAAAGACCTACTGGAGAGAGGAGGATCACCGGACTAGCACCAGTTTCTCCAACTCCTACTCCTTCCCCGGTGACTAGCACCATCGGCATCGCGTGTCTTCTAGAGGCGTCTATAAGTTTGCTTGCAACATTCTTCTGCTAAAGAACTATTGTCATGAGTGTGAGTGAGGGATCTCCATGTGAATGATCTAACTATTAAACTAAGGACTCTTGTTAATTTCGCCATAAGCTTTATTTATTTATGTGGTTGTTGTTTTGCAAGTATCCTAATAATCTCCATAATAAGTGTTTGCTATTACTTAATCTTCTCACAGATTGTTCTAAGGTCTAACTTGAAGAAGCATTAGTTTAAATTTAACAAAGCAAAGTTCATATTTTGATTAATTTCTATAACGCAATTCTTGCTTGCCACTTTGTTTCACATCACACTCTTGTGCACTAATCTTCTTGTCTATTTCTATTGGCCTAATGCCCAATACATTCATCTATGATTCCATGTGAAATATGCACACTAATGCTTTCCTTTTTCGAAGTAACATATTGGAAAATAGAGTTAATCGGTTCATCAATTAAATGTTTCTTTATGCAAGCCTATGTTAGACCGGTCCAAGGAGGACCGGTCCAGCCGGCCCAGCCCCTTGGGCCGGCTTTGTTCGTCTACGCCAGGAGGGCCGGCGGACACAAGAAGAAGGGAGAGGGGTGGGGTCCACTTGGAGTTTGAATTGTTTCTTGGAGCCAAAAGGAGGGGAAGCAAGGGTAATTAGGTCCTTTTGTTTTAGATTTGAATTGTATGCATTAAGTAGGGGAGAAAAGGGGGGATTAGGGTTATGAGATATTTTTGTGAAAGTTTTTCTTGTTCTTCTTTGGTGGCTAGGGCTCTAGATTGAATTCTAGAGATTGGGAGAGTGCGATCCTCCTCTCGAATAGAGGATCCTTGTATCTTTGCTATTTTCCTTTCATCTTCTAGTAAAATACAAGTTCTTACTTCGTGTTTCTATCGTTTTTCTCGCGTTTTCCCACTGTTTTGGCTGATTTCCTGCTGTGGACAGCAGTTTGCTGTGAGATCTTTGGCTAAAGTGATTAGGAAATACTTGGAATCAAGTATTTCCTATCAGCCTAAAGTTCAATTCTCCCTTTATCATTCATTTGATTTTTAATTCCTGATTTTGGAAAGCTCGAGCCAAAGGATATTTGAGTCTGTTACAAGTACAGGCCATCTTAAACACATATTCTAAGTTCAAGTCAATGGAATCTCAATTCATTATTGACAACACCCCTCCAACTCACGCACAAATAGAGATAATCATATCCTAGAGCAATTATTACCATCCAATCAACAAGAATGTAGATCATGCTACGAATGTCACACTAAGCCTAATGATAGTACAAGGTTACTTCATAATCTAACGATGATATGTTGCCAACTAGTACAAGGAAGGTGCCCACAAAGAAGGCATTTACCTCTTTCAACCACAACATCTTGCATTAAGCACAAAACAGCTCAAAAAATTTTAAGTTAGATTTGAAGTAAAGATAAATGACAATTCTCAGCTGATACATTATATAAATTGAACCAACTCCTTTGGATTAGATTGTTCCAAACATCACAAAAGAATATTTAAGAGAGAAATAATTTCCATACCTTCCGTCCAGCAAATTTTTTAGTCAATTCATTGATTTTCTCTTTGACCGGTGGAAGCTCAAGCGCTCGTTGAAACCGTTCAGAGTCTATCCCAATAGGAAACTATCGAGTTTTTCCGAAATTGATATGCATGAAAAAAAAAATTGAACTAAATAATAGGTAAGGATCATTAAACTCTAAAATCCATTAAAAAAACTAATGGATTGTACAAGCAGAAAACTGAAAGATGGTAGCAATTCAATAAAAGTGATTACTTGACAACTAAATGAGAAGCTAAGATTGGTGAGTTGGACTATACCGCAGCAACTCGTGTCAGTTTTCCTTGGTCTTCTACTCCCTCTGGCGTACCTTCAAGTTCAAGAATTCTAGTGCAAGCACTTACAAAATGTCTTGCATAGTCATATGTGTGAAATCTGAATTACATAATAAGAAGAAACAGTAACAATACTAATAAAATATTATGATTCACTTAAAAGATTTTCCATGGTTAAAGTGTATGCAGGGACCTTAAAAAAACTTCCCCACATAACAGGAAAATTACTATGAAAATACTCAAAATGGCAACTTATAGCATAATATAAATACATCTAAACAGAAAAAATCATGGAATCCCAATATCTAGGGTAAAAACGTCAGTCCTAAACATCAAAATTAAACCTACTGAAATTTGAAGAGAATTATTCCTTAATTTTACTGCAACTTATGATCCATTAAAGGTCAATACCACTATACCTAAGAGGAGAGGAAAATAAAATTTGCAATCCATAACTAGCCTGATAAACATCTTAGGTACACATTGATGTTTCATAATTAATAGTAATTATTGGACTTCACAGATCATTTATTTTCCAGTAGTCATCATCAGCGGCAAAAAAATCAAGTAAAAAGATCCACCGCTTACCATCGGCAAATTAATTTAAATAAAATTAAATTAAATTAGTTTGTGTCCAACCCACATGGAACAAAAAATTATGATATTAAGAACACAAACCTCCCATACTGCACAATAACCAAATCAATGCTATATAAACAATCCCAACAGAGTATGGAAAGAGAAAAATAATGGGCAAAGCAGTTAGGGAGGGCATTCAACTGTGCAACATGCTGGTCTTAATGGCTAAAAGAGTTCATCATAAATTACAAAACCCACAAATTCCTTTCAAAAATTATTAGCAATGCCCTACTTGGCCTCTCATTCAAAATTTTGGAAATATAGAACAACCATCGAAAAGACAGCTTCTGGATGCAATGATAGGAAGGGTGATATTTGTTATAGATCTCCCCATCTCAATAGATTCAATACGTTTTCAGCATATATCCGGTTATCTTAAGGGCAGACTTCAGCATTCAACTACATTCATAATTACCTACTAAAATGCAAAAGAATCAAAACAACAAAATAAACTCATATCTTTTTTTCTTTTTCTTTTTTTCACAAGCTTTCCATTTTTCATATCATAACCATGTTTAAAACTCCAATTTATGCATCAAAGAAATTGTTTGACCAACGGGATTGGATAACCCCAAAAAGGATGGAAATAAAATATCTGAAATTTTTCTTTTTATAAATTGATATATAGAAGCTATGGCCACCATAGATCTGGGATATAGTGACAAAAATTTTAAAATCCTGCTAGAATTTTAAAATGATAATCAAATGTCTTTATACAAATATATTTTTACATACTAGTATGACCCTCTATATCCAATAATGCTATCATAATTTTTCTTTATAACTAGAAGGATGGTAGCACTCATAGATAAAGAAACTTTGAGGTACCAAATATAAAAAAGGCATAAGAAGGTAATAGAACAGAGTAGCCTACAGTTGATCAGAATATTACTTGATTTGGCAACAACAATACTACATAGAATAATAAGTTAAAAAAATAAAAAAACTACATAGAATAATAAGATTTATGTTTAGGCAAACATTAATGATTAATGGAGTTATTTCGCTGACTTTACACTGACAAAAAGTAGCAACCAAAATATTTATTAAATTTTATTCTCAAAGCTAACACTGCAGTACTGAATGACGACCTTACTGGTACATGATCATGATTTTGCAAACTCTTAAATTTATTCAAATTCTACATTATAAATCTTCATTTACATTACATGATGTAGAGCTTTTATTTCTACAGAAATTTGAGAAATGTTTGCTTCATCCTGACGCCTTAAAATAATTATCCAAATATATTTAGAACATGAGTTCCAGTTAACCACATCTCAATGCATCATAACTTCAAGAAAAAATTTTCACAAAGCAATCTCGAAAGTTGTTGTCTCTTTAATATTTTAAGTTGGCAATTGAATGTTCATGTTAGCAATATTTTAACCCTGAAAATACAACAAAATTCTGAAATATTTCCATGCTAAAAATTGCTCACAAAAATACTTGTCAAGGCAGATCAGAAAGCCAAATTAGAATCATTGGACAAAGTAAAATTAGAATTCCCTAGACCCACATTGTAGAAGTCTCATGCATCAGTGCCCATACTTTATTACTAACCTGAATTTGCAGGAAAAAGAAAAGGACTATGATTTCGGTAAGCATGTATATGTCTGTTCATGCATACAAATAAAGGTTGTTCTCCCCCCACTACCGCCAATACAAAAAAACCTCCGCAGCATTTTAATAAACAAGAGCATAGAAAGGGTAATTTATGGGCAATAGAGTTCTTAGCTTGCTTAATCTGTATAGTTGAAGTGGAGTTTGGTACAAAATTTTCTAGCAGTAGAATACAATGTCGTGCAATTTGTGATCATGTTGCAGGTAAAAAAATTCCAGGGATTTAAAAGTGAAAAATATACTTACCCAACTAAATCTGCTGCAAGAACAGATCTAAGAAGCTCCAATCGAGATGGCAGGGTTCTGTGAATTTCTGATGAAGGAAAAGGGGTGTGAAGGAACCATCCAACTTTCATCTTGCTGTTATAGTCCTTCAGGCATTTCGGAAGAAACATAAGGTGGTAATCATGGCACCATACAATATCCCCCTCTTCATAGTGTTGATTCACAACATCAGCAAACATCTGGTTGGCCTTCTTATATGCATCAAATTGAGATTGGAAGTTGTGAGTCGTTGCAAGCCCATCTTCTTGAGGAAGTCCAAGATAATGAAAAAGCGGCCATAGGATATTGTTGCAGTAGCCATTGTAATATTGATGCACAATTTGTTCATCAAGAAAAACCGGAATGCATCTCTGCCAGAAAGAGACTCATTGCCTAAATTAAAGTTCTTAATCCTTCCTTGCCACAAAAAGACAGCAAGTAAACTACAAAAAAGCAATGTCTTTGAATGTTAACAAACCTTCTCAGCCAGTGCCTTCACAAGCGCCTTTTGCCCAATTACATCTGGTACATTTACACCAGCCCATCCAATCCATTTAGCATCAACATCCTTAACACCTGCACAACCATCAAGGCAAGCATTTTCAATTTATCATGAATGCAAGGCAAACCATTTTCAAATAATTCTACCTGTTGCAGGAACTAGAATATATAAGAACCAGCAAATAGACATCAAAGACAAATAAATAACTACAGCTCTTGGCAATCAGAGCTTCTATGCTTAAGTAATGCATGTGGAGATAAGTTGCTCGCTATAAAAGAAAACACCCTTGATACCACTTACCAAGAAGAGCACTAACAAGGCCTCCAGCGCTGATCTCCAGCGACCAAGAATCCTCACCACGCCGGCATGCAGACACAGGAAGACGGTTTGCCACCACTAAAAGTCGCTGCTTCTTCATGGGCTTCCCCTCTGATGCCCCAAATCCGCCTCCAAGTGACCTAGAAGCACGAGGGGAGGCGTCCACCATCTCATCGTCACGGGATCCCATATCATCCCCAAGGAGGAACTCGGGCTCACGGGAGCAATCACTGCCACTGTTATTCCTGCTGCTGTCAGTGGCATCTTTATCATCAGTGTTGAAGATTTTGTTGAACTTCCTGAGCTCTCTCTCACGAACCAGTCTACCAACCCTGGTTTGGCTTTGACTTGTGTACTTGTTTCCCAGCATATGGAGACCGCCGGAGGGCAGCTTCACAAAACCAACAGCTTAGCAGAGGAACCGTTCCACTGCATTTTGTTTTTACAGGGAAATGGGAAATTAACTAGTGAGAAGCTAACAATAAATTTTTTTTTTTAAAAAAAAAAATCAAACTTTGGGGGAGATTCAAGCCGAGTAGCACCAAAGTCAGTAGTTCAGTAAGGAGAGAGCGTTACGGTAGCAATCGAAACGTGGGTTTCAAGCTTCAGTTTCGCTATCCGAAAGATAAAATTCACACCATTCATTCTCACACCATAGCTACAAAAACAGATAGCTTCTACAGCTAGTTTAGAAGTAAGCAAACCGGATGCTAACTAATAAGCGAATTATTTTTAACTCTTTTGTATTGTTTTTTTTTTTTTGGGCCGTTGAGCACTCGAGTGCGGGACCTGCGGTGGGAAAATTTCTGCCGCTTCTTCCGCTAAGAGAACAAAGTTGACAGAAGATGGGAAAATAAAAAAGATTAAAAAAACCGGGAGAAAAAAAAAAAAGGATTGTTCGTTAAAGCAATAGCTATGCTTCCCGCCTTCGACTATTGCGTCCAACTAAAGAAATGCGCGGATCCACTCCGAAGCGAATCAGTTAATTGCCAATAAATCGCGCAAAATCCACCATTGACCCTTTTCACCATTGACCCTAAAAGAAGTATCTTTATTCTTTTCTACTTGGTACTGAAATCAATTACTTCGGATTAGATTATCCTAATTTAATTATGATTTTTGACTATCAATTACAAAATTTAAAATTTAAAATTTGCTAAGTTTATTTTAATTGAACTAAAAGTCCGAAATAAAACTATGAGGTTATTTTGCATCCTAATTTAGTAAGAATTTAAATAAATTTTAGCTTCAATCCCGCCTAATAATTTTACAAATTTTGAAATTTATTCTTTTGAAAATTTAATTCAAATTTTATTATTGATTAAAATCAAACTTTGGTAAATTTCATCAGCATTACACAAAATTTATGAATCTCCTGCAATAAATAACTAAATAATTTATCAAAATTTTAAATTATCGCGTTAAAGTGTTCCGAGATTTTATTCCTCGCAAAACTTAATAATTTAGATTTCTAAATCCTATTTTAGTTATAAGCACTCAACCCCTAAGATACTGCCATACGAGGCAAAATGTCATAATCCCACCGGCATTGTCGACCACTGCGGCAAATGCAGCAAAAGACAAAAATGGACCGAGCAAAGAAAAAGATCGAAGGTCTTTAGATGCTCAATTCAAGTGTTATTAGAGTAAGAATGAAAAAAATATATATACAAGAATCTTATCAACAACATCAAGCCTTTATCCCATTACCAGATTCTTGTCCTGATAGTAAAATTACTCGCTAACTCTCCCTTCTCTCTCGCTTAACCTAGATTTCAACAGCGATATGCAAAATTTTACAGAGCAGTAGATCGATAGGGGCTTCCTCAACTTGCCTATAGAATTGGATTCCGAAAATCTTTGAAAGAAAAGGGAGAAGAAACAAAAGAGTAAAGGGAGATTCACCGCTTCTTCTTCTTCTCCTTGAATCCGTAACTTCGCTCCTTAACCTCTCCAACCGTCGCTTCCCTTTCTCAAAACTGAACAGAAATGCGATGCTTCAGTGCGACATGGTTCAATTCAACCGCAAATATATTTATAGGCACGGGTAACCGGCAGGCCCGGTCATCCCACGTCAATGCGACCGAGTGAAGCCGGTCGAGCCAGCCGGCAAGTTCTCGGCGTTTTTAAAATCGCTGGCCTTCGCCGGCTACAAAGGCCCAAGTGGCGGGTCTGGATGATGAGTACAACCGGCAATTTAGCTGGCTTCAATTTGATTTGTTAAATGACCAATAAGTTAAATTTGGTCCTGTTCAGACTCAACCCATCAGTTCATTCATGGCCAGTACATCTAAATATTATTAATATACATATTATGTGCCTGAGAGAAAATTTAGAGGCCTAGCAAAGGAACTTTTATTTGGTCCGGTGAACGTACGTAGAGCTACGTTCGGCCGGCACTAAGATCACAGGCACAAAACGAGAAATACCGAGCAATACCAACAATAACGAGAAATACCATTATGTGAAGATAAAATACCGAGTAATACGTCCGCCGTCCGCCAGCAGCCTATCCGGGTCGGGTCGGGTCAACCCGGCAACCCGCCGGGTCGGGTCCGGGTTCGAATTTCCGACCCGTTTATCTACCCGGGTCGGGTTAGGGTCGACCCATTTGAACCCGGGTCAGTTCCGGGTTCGACCCGAACCCGACCCGTGACCCGAAATTGACACCCCTACGTAGAGCTACGTCCGATCAGAGGACGTAATAAAAGTTCCTAGCAAAGACAAGAAGCATAGCTTCCTCAAGATGGGATCTTTACTCCCTTCCTCAACTTTATATATGTTGATCATTAACATCTATGTATCCTCTTCACCACAATGAGAAAATATTTAGACGTTTTTTAGCATATGTGATCAAGTTGAAAGTCATATTTTGGATCAAGCAACAAATCTCATCTTTTCTTTCTTTTGTATTTTTTGTATCACAATGAGAAGATATGGACTTTCATTTCATCCTTTATGTATTCTCTATCACATTGAAAAGACCTATGGATTTATATTCCATCATTACTATATTTTCTAAAATAATGAGAATATATCCAGATTTTCATTCCATCATATATATCTTCTTTATCACATTGGAAAAATATCCAAAGTTAGATATTATTCTTCGTATCTCCCTACTACATTAAGAGGATAGTTGAGCAACTTGACCATATAAGAATAAGTCATGTATCTGATCTTTTATATATTCTATATCTTTTTTATTATATGGAGGAGGCATTTGGGCTTATTGATCATATGTGAACAAGTTATAAGTCTTATCTTGGGTGTCATCCCAGACACATGAAAGAGATAACTTTCTTTGTAGCCTTAGATCTTCATTAGCCTCACTAGCCTTACATTTATTATCATGCAATATTATAAGTCTATTCTAGATTTTCCCTTCACATGACAGTAGAGTGTAAATCTAATTTGCTTGTATAGGACTAGATCCACACCTTTAATTTATAAGGTCCCCTTAAATAAAATAATGCATGGTTACTAATTAAATTGATCAGGTCATTATCCCAGATAAATAAAATAATGCATGGTTACTAATAAGGATTCTTAGTTCACTTCATGATTAAATTGAACAAAGCGCTAATGAATTCAGAATGATGGAAGTATATGAAATTGATCAGGTCATTATCCCACATAATATCTTAGTTCTTACCTTCATATATCAACTCATCCCTTTCTTCTAGATAGTTGCCACAACATGGCACTGTATATCCAAACTAAGGCATCTCCCTCCAATTGAAGTAGAGTTATAAATCTCTCTTTTGATGCCTTTGAGCAAATCCTCCTTGGTTCTTTGAAGATCCTACCCCCTTCCACCTTCATAGCCCTTTTAGGGTCCGCTTTGACTTTACTCTACCCAGACCTACATCAATTATATCTAGTTTACTCAAAAGTATTGACTATTCATTTGAAATTATTCTTGAATGCAACTAAGATATAATTAATCTTAGAAGCTTACGCTTTTAGAAAATCTTGATACTTGCAATTAAAATAAATCATATTTGAAGTTATATTCCTTATAAGGAAAATCTTTGAGATAAATACACTCAATCTGGCTTCCATTTATCCCCATATGTCTATAAAATGCATTGACTAGCTATAGTCATTTCTCTACTACAACACTATTGGTTCATTTTGAAATTCATAAGTTTTGGTGAGTCTGCTAAGAAAATTTTAATCTTTACTTACAGAGCTTTGCTCACTTATAATCTTACAGTAGTACTCCAATTTAGTTGGGGACGTACAGGCACAAAGATCATATATATAGGCCTAGAGTTATTTATTCTCACTCTTCTAAAAACTATGCATATGTGTAGGATCAAAACACTAAGCCTTTAAATCTGTAGAACATAATACAACCATTTATCCCCATAGGTGGAGACTAAGGCCACACACACCTAAAGGCCCCTCATGGCAGCAATTAGAACATAACTCTTTATAATAGATTTTTCTTTCATACCTTTTTTTTCTAATCGTATATCTCAGTATTATCATAAAGAAGTGATTATTTATGTGATAAGCTAACCTCATAAGTCCCTATATCTCAAATATAATCTTAATTAGTATGATATATTATAATTAAACTTATCAAAGGACTTATAGGAATTATTTATTATTTTGATAGAAATTCTTTTCACATGTCATATTAAATTTATCTGGCCCAATGATTTATGCTACCTCAGGGCATCCTACTAGAGGTTACCTGTACTATCATACTTATGAATGATAGTATGCTTCTAGAATTGATGGAATTAAATTTTAATTTTACTTTATTTATGATGTGCATAGTAGTTGAAGTACCACAAATCATGAATGCTTGAAGTTTTTTTAAAAAAAGGCTTAAAATAAATTTTTAAAAGTATAGCCTTTTTAAGATTCAGCACCTCATCTTTATAAGTTAGATTATCTGAACTCCACCCTCAAGTGTAGAAGTGTCTAAAATAATGATAGAAGTATGAAAAATATGCATTTGATCCCGAACGATATTTGATTTACTTACCAAGAGCGATTATCTTTCTATATTACTTATTCCTAAATTTTATTTTTAAAATGAGAGTAGAAGAATTTTTATTCCTAAGAGCCTAGCAAAATTTCAGGTACAAGCACACACAAGAAAGAAATCTATAAAAACTAAGTAATTTCTTCTATACAAATAATATAAACACGTTAACTTAAAAGAATATAAATTTCAAAAGTCCATGTGGCAAGTGACAGTTAATATACAACCCACAATCTGTTGAAAGTAAAGGTGGTTAGGCTCCACCAACAACAACAAGAATTCTAAACCTATGAAATGAAGCAATTTTTTTTAAACAAGTCATTTTTATTTTAGTCTTAGTTGTTTCATCTTCAACTGGGTTCTTTTCCTCGGGCTCTTTGTGTGTTCAGCCCTTAGAATTTCTAAATTAAAAGAATTCTCCATTAAAAAAAATTATTTCCTCTTTGGACCTCTAATCTTTTGGGACAATGCCTTATATTATATTCTTTCAAAACTCTTATTTTAATGAATTATATTTTTGAAAAATTAAAATGACTCAAACTCTTTATATATTAGTGAAGCATTTGAATATGTAAATAATCAAAAGATATAGTTACAACCACAATCACTTTGCTCATTTTTTAGTAATCTATAGCTTGACCATACTTTTTTATATTACTTAAGGGGGCTTAGTATAACAATGAAATCACATGTAAAAAATTTGAATAGTTTTAAAACTTAAAGATTATTTAGCCTCCTTTTATTGTAGCCCTACATATATAAGCATATGACTACCTGCAGAAAAATTGATTAGTAATAAACATCCTGATCGTTCCTAACCTAGAAAAATCTAAATGCTCATCACATATCACATTATAAGAAACATAGCATGAGAATAAT